GTTAATAGGATATTTCAATGGAGCGCTGCCCGGAACTAAGAAGAACAAAACCGGATACAGAGAGCGGTGGTGGGGGTGGGCGCGCGGAGGAGCGGCGGGTGGAGGGGAGCCTCCCCGCCCGCCCTCCGCTCCTCCGCGCGCGCGCCCCCACCACCGCTCTCTGTATCCGGTTTTGTTCTTCTTAGTTCCGGGCAGCGCTCCATTGAAATACCCTATAGGATGGTATGCGGGAACAGGGCCTTCCAGCACCGACATTTGACATACTGACAGCATTTGACGGGGACTTATTTCTCTAAAATTAGGAACATGAAACTTCTGCTGTTCGATAAAGGTATTCATTAAAAGTTCTAATTTTGACAGATAGTTATGCAAATATCAACGTTTTAGTGATACTAAATAATCTAGGGACTCCTAGGCCTAGAGGAGGGTGTGGTTCGACCCCTGGTTTAAGTATTACTCCCCTAACAATTTTGTGACTTGAATTCTTTATTACGATTTAATAGACCAATTGGTCTTTTTCATCCTGTTTTCGCCAAGGAATGCCCCCTAGCACCCAAACGGTACAAGATAGAGCAAAACGGACGAAATTTTCGGTCTGAGGGTTCTACTTTCACGAGAGACCATGTAGGAGACCATAAAAAATTATTTGAAAGAAATATCATATTTTGTTACCTGTGGTTATTGATATTTTAAAAAGTCAATTTTTGAGCTAGAGTGCTCATTTTCGAACTCGATCTGTCTTTTTATGATACAAAATGACCCTGAAATTCCCAGATCGCTCTCTCAATTCTTTCTCGAGTTATCGTGTGGACAGACGGACAAACAGACAAACAAACAGAATGAAACTTTTCTGGTCAGTGGAGTAATGGGCTTCGCTTATCGCTCAGCCAAAAAATACCCAATCTAAAGCCTTACCGAAGATATTGTTGAGGATTTCAGGACTGGCTCCCTGCGGTGGGTTGGATCACTACGTGGATATTCTTGAAAATTCTCAGGCTTAGCTGGAGTTGGGACATAGGCTTCATTTCTCCTTGATGGGTGATTGCACTGCAATGAACAGAAAATTACTTGCATATGAGCAAAACCCTTAACTCATGTTTTAGATTACTAGGTACTATCAGCCAATAACACACCCACTGCCTTTATAGTCAGATGTTCAAGAAAAAAAACAATACTTAAAGTATGGATTGTTAAATAGAACTTTCAAAACTTTGGGTAGAATTATTTTTCAGACAATACTTTTGGAATCCAAAGTAGATTTAATGTAATTTAAAACCATGATGTACTTGAAAAAAATCATTTTCAAAGAGCGTGCACTAATGCAGACTCAAGAACAAGAGAGAAACTCTGACCATTTTCTCATGATCAAACAGAAAGTTGACTCACCATCCTTACACTAGCTACATGTACGCCAGACCACGTCTCGCGTAACATGCTTCGCGATATCTCACGAAACACTGTTACGCTGCGACGCGACTGGCGCACAGATAGCTAGGCCTGCGGCGCTGACACCCGAGACGAGTTAAGGAGAGAGTATGCAATTATGTAAAGCTGGTATTCTTGCTATTGGTTCTTGTTGACCATTGGTGGTTTTCATACTTATAAGTTTTTCCTTGTTGTGTTTGAGGACT